TGGGGTAAACAGTAAACCATTTATCCTACTAAAATGAGGTCCGCATTGCATTAGAACAGGATCTTAACATGCCCTTTTCTAATGCAAACATTTCAAGATCATAACATGCTTCCTTTATTATAAATCTAAGCCTCCTTTCACTCAATCACAAGCAGTTACCCAGATGCATTAAACAGATTTAATTATGTCTTCATTCAGAACAGACCTGCAGGCAAGCCATACCTTAAATAAAGTTTTTCAAGCTTAATGCAGACGGAATATTTTCTAGACCACACATTTCTACCATTTGACTATTTGTTTACTGGCAAACTCAAATATGACATTTACTATATTAGTAACTGGCTTTGTGAACAATTAACTACAATTTTCTTGATTTCATGTAGCAGATTGTAGATGGGTAGCTTGCCAGCTGATCTATGTGATGATTATTAACTATTTCAATAGGAGATAACAACCATCTACTAGGGATACTTTAATATGATTTCACAAACCAAGCAGGAGGCTGGATTTCATGACTTAAATGTATTCTTTCACCCTTGATTCTAATTCTGGTTTTGATGTCTTATTTGCTGGTAATGGATCTGATCAAAATTAACTTAAATTCCACTGATTTCAGTTATCTTTTTGAAATGTAATTATATTAAAGGTTTTCCAAAGACATTTTGCTACAACTGTGAAGATCTAGAGGAAATTCATATTCATTCCATATACAGATACTGACTAGTTATTAGTTATTCAATCTTCTTCGGTACCGGCATTGATATAGTATCCATTGCTCTAGATGCAAATTTAGGGTTCTTATCAGATTTTCCAAACTAAGGAATGGTTTATTAGCTCAGGAAAATTGTGCAAAGAGCTGCCATTTTGCTCTACAGCCATTGCTGCTTCAAATTGCTTAATACCATGATTGTTATTATTAATGTATGTCCATGTGTGTTTGGTACAATATGGAATTTGAATGCATATAATTTCCTAATGTGGCAATGTTACCAATGCAACAAAATTCAATTCAATTATTTCAATGTTATTTCATACTAGTAATAGACATGATTTACTTTTACACAGTCCAAGAAAGCCTAGGAAAAGGGCCGAAAAGTTACAAGAAGTCTCCCAAGCTTTACCTCACAAAAACTGAAGTAGCCAAAATGCCCAGGCTAAAATCACATTAACTCACTCTGATAACTGACTCCAATCAAACAGCATAGTTCAATTCTTCCACATCTTCCCTTAGTGGAGTTTTGAGATAAAAAACAGTGTAAAAATATAAGAAGTTTACATGCAGAAAACATGGACTTCAACTAACAGCTCACTAAGGCTGTGATGTTCACATCCTGATGCAGGTGTACTCCTTGACTATGGATAACTGAGGCCAAATTATCAATGTAGGAGCTCAACAGTGGACTCATCCATAAAGCCTCTTTGTGCTTTTTTCCTTAGCTTTGAGGGAAAAAAAGTATGTCATTTTAAAAGCCGCTACCTCCCTCACCCTGCCTTTGACCATTCCTTAGGAATAAGGCCAAATATCTGTAGGACAAAAAAAACATGGATTACTTTCCATAATTCAGTGGCTGATGCTAGTGGGGAAAAGAGAAGGAGACAGGGAGATGGAAAAGGCAAGTGGGTTGAGATTAGCAAAGTGGGAAGCAATATACTCATGGAGTGAACTCTGCTAAAGGCTATTGGAAGAGGTAGAGGTAATAGAGATAGAGGTAGTAGGTAGAGGCCCTGCAAATGTCTGATCAAAATAGCACATCCTATGGTAGCAGAGACTTAACAATAGGATTCTCAACTTTGTGGAAGACCAAATGTGCTTGATATATCTGAACAAACTATGAAAATTTAAAAAAAAAATAGATGGCTCTGCAACAGAGGTATCTTTTCTCTCTAGCATTCACAGTAGAAAGGCCCATGGAGGCCAACATCCATGGACAAAAGGGTCAGTTCTATAAATGTTAACTGGAGCCAAGAAAGTCTGCAGCCTCCAAATAATGTCTATGGAGAGGTCTTGTGTTGCAATTGCTCAGAAAAAACAGCATATGTCCCCCCAGAATCTCTTGGATAGCAGGAAAATAATAGTGAGATGGAGAACTGATTTGTGAGGACTTGCCTTCAAAGAATGATAAGCAGGGTGGCTTTCAACCAAGGTAAGAAAGTCATGTGGATGAGGCCTGTGATAGGCATATTTTAAAGGACATATGTTTCATTATCAGGGTTGGGTAAAGGACGCAGAATACAATTTTTTGTCAACCCTTGGTCAGAAGTTTGGGGGACTGTAGTATGCGAGTACTATATCAACAATCCTGGGCAACACTTGACTTTCTTGACCATAGTCAGGGATTTTTTGATACCTTCAGAACATGGAATTGACCTTGATGGCCTAAAGAGCCTCCACCAACTCCCTGATCAGATCACATCAACCTCTTGTCCAAACACAGCAAAATAATATAATGACATAATTTGTTAGGTCCAATAAAATAAATTATATTATGCTTTAATATAACAACTAGAGACATGTTAAAAGAATATACCACATATGTTTCCCAGCAAATGCTGAACCACAAATGTGTGTAAACAGTCACTTTCAACTTAATGTAAATTGCTTTAAACTTGATTGTAAAAAAAAATATTTTTGTAACAGAGTTATCATAGTCTGGAATTATCTTACCCAATTCAGTTTTCTCAGCTACTAATTTTCAGAGTTTTAATTCTCACTTAGTTTCTGTGGATCTTATCCCGTATTTAAGAGGTTCCTAAGGGGGCATGTATAAGTGCACTAATGTGGCTATTGTCCCTGTCACATTTTCGTTTTTTCATTGTTTGAATGTGTAATTTTTGTTTGATGAATAAGTAAAATAGAATAAACTACCCAACTTAAAAGTATCATTTAGTTTAGTCTATTGTGCAAACTCAGCTTTTAATTCTATAATACTGTAAAAGTTTCTTGCAAATTAACTGTATTGGATAATACTAAATTCTGGAATTATGTTAAACTTATCTCTGTCCACTCTATCATGACTGCACACATTTCACCCTTTAAACCAGAAAGGGGTGAGGATGGGAGGATAGACAGTAGTAAGAAACCACTAAGATGTTGCCAGCAAGGTTGAAGCTCTGCCCTTTTGTACATGCATGTGATGGTGGTGCTCATTCAAAAATGGGGCTTTATTTGTGATGCCATGACTTTTTTGAGTCCTTCCTGCAGATGCCACTAACCATTAACTAGCTTCTTCCAATTCAACATATATATTTGTTTAACCCAACACTGCTTTCTTTTTAGATTGTCCCTTCCCAATGCCCTCCAGAGGAGCTTAGGGTTTCAAGAAGTTTAGAGAAGATGGAAGTTTTAATTCAACACATCTGGATTCCACGATGGAAGACTGTTTTGTTTAAGGTGGCAGGTGCATTCCATCTAGGCAGGTGTTTTTCTTTATTTATTCCACTGATCCTTTTCACTTGAATTAGGGTATTCTGTGTACAAAGCACTGAATCTTTTGAAGATAAGTATGGAAGATAAGTTATTATAAGGTGAGGGCCAAAGTACTCAAAATAAATCAAAAGATTTGAAGCAGGGCAAAGTGCCCCAAAAATAAAAGTGAAAGGAAAGGGAGAGAAGGATGTTCTGGAGTAATGGTCTAGGACAGGGGTAGGCAACCTTGGCTCTTTTATGACTCGTGGACTTCAACTCCCAGAATTCCTGAGCCAGCCAGGAATTCTGGGAGTTGAAGGCATGAGTCATAAAAGAGCCAAGGTTGCCTACCCTGGTCTAGAAAGATTGGCAGATGTTAAATGAATGGAGATTTTGCATTTTGATCTCTTTAAAGTTCTAAACCCAATCAAAAGCTACAAGAGATAGCTCAGCAACTGAATCACTAACACGGGATGGGAAAAATGTGGTCCTCCAGATGTTGTGGAACTGTAGTTTCAGAACCTCTTATTATTGGCTATGCTGATAGGAGATGCTGGCAGGTATAATTCAGTAACATTGTGGGGACTATAGTCTTCATTTCTGCATTAGTGTAGAGCAAGAATTATAGGATTCCACAGCAAAGGAAGACAGTTCAAAAAATATAAAACAATTATCCATTTAATGAAACAAGCTGTGCCTTATGAATACTCATGTTAAAATAAACATTTAATGTGCTTAATATGAGATATAATCTGCTAGTTTTAATTCAGTTGTCATCATGAAATTCGGCTCAAGTAAGCAAGCCAAGTAATATTCCTCAACAAAATATAACCCCCTTCATGCTGTTTTTGTAGTTTACTCTGAGTAACATGAAGGAGAGATAACATTCCTTTCCAAGTTTAGAGAGGGTCTTGACTCAAACAAAATTCATTCACTATTTTCTAAATCTTCTCCAAAGCATCGGATAGCTGGGAGAATGTGAAAAACAAGGTTTATTGATGGGTATGATTCTAAGAACTACAGCTGATTCAGGATTTGGAGAAATGGACATGAAGCCTACTTGGAGGGAAAAACTAGTCCAAGAGTCAAGAAGGCCTTAAATTATGGGAAGGGAGAGACGATAGGGTGGCATAAAACCTAAAAGGCTGGGCTGTTGTGGAGGAGGAGGGGGGGAGGAGGAGGAGGAGGAGGAAGGGAGGGAGGGAGGGAGTGAAACAGAGAGAAAAGACAGAATATAGAAGGTTCAGGAGAGCTGCAGAGCTTCACCAGACTACAATTGGGTGTTCAAGGCATTCTACAAGAGAACAAGAGAAGGAAGCATCAAAAGACCGACACAATAAATGTACCCCAAATGCAGTGTGTTGATGTTGGGAAGCTTGGATGATACAAAGGTGATGAAGAGAAGCAAGCTAATTTCTCCCTTGCTGATCCTGGATAGCCTCTCCTCCATCCCCGATTCAATCATTCCTGCATCCCTGGTACCCAACTCTCTCCCCCACCTTCATCCGCGCCGCATCCCCATGGCAACCGCTCACCATCTCCTCCCTTCGCCTTTCCTTCGCCAGCGCTGCCTTGCTCCCCCCTTGTCTCTTACCGCGGCAGTGCAAAGGGGAAAGGGGGGAAATGAATCAGCCTTCGCCCCTCGACGAGCGGCGTAGAGAGGGGAAGGGGCTCGGCATGCAGGAGCTGCCGCGGACGGATAAATGGAGGGGGGGGGACGGAAGCATAGCGCATCCTCCCAGCGGCAGCGCGATTGGGGGAGGGAATATGGGGACGGGGGAGGGTGGTCTACTCTTTCCTTTTCCTCCTTTCCCACAAGCCTCCCCATTCCTCTTTTCTCTCCTCTAATTCTCCTTCCGTCTTCCCCCCTTTATACTCCCCTCGGCGTCTCCGTTCCTCACCCCACCCCCCTCTTTTTTTCTCCCTTTTCCCCCCTCCTTTTTTTAAAGAATCTGCAAGCTAGGCAACCTGCCCGCCCGCCAACCATTCCGCTCTGCCGTAGATCCGAGATGGGAAAAACCCAGCAGAATCCCAGTGGCATTGACTTAACGTCGCAGATTTTAAAATATTCAACGATCAGTCGGGACGCTGGGCTGGGACCACAACACGGAGCCCTCAGCCCCCAACCTCAAGCATTTCAGGTCCCGCCACTCCCTGGAAGGGTCCTATCCGTTCAAATCTGCACCTCCATTTCACAATAACGCACCTGTCCAGGCATTTCCCATTTCGATTACCCATCCTCTTAGTCCATCACCCCCCCCCCCAAATCTTGCTCCATTGCCTCGCCACCTTTCGCAGGCTAGTCGGACCACCCCCCACCCATCCGCCGTCTCCAGCGAAGAAAAAAAAAAGAGACACAGGCTCCGTTCTTTCCCTAAGACTCTGTTTTTGAGAATCGCACACACTAACATCCTATTCCTTCATTCTCTGGTCACCCGCCAGAAGAAGCGGTAGTTTTAGGAAAAATAACAATGAGTTCCGACTGTGGTGGCTATATATACTATATATGATAACATATATAGTAGCATGTGCTCTGGAAGGTAGGATTGAGCTGAATATTTATTCAGCCACCTGCTGCTCTGATCGCTGCTTTCCAACAAGTCAGAAGCTGAGCACAGGCACCAGTTCAAATTTGTAGCCTCAGTTCATTCATTAATCCACAATAATGACCCCCTCCCCCTCCCCATGGTAGCTCTCTCTGCAAAATGTTATTCTCTGTTTATGAGTTAACATGCGAGTGGTGGGGGAGAGGGAATTGCAGCTCTAGACCATTAGGTTTAATAAAGGAGTGATTGAATCCATATTTGGAGAGGTAAATATCATAAAAATAAATGCCATGAGAATAAAAGAAAACACTAATTTTTAAAAAGAACCACTGCAGGGCTTGGATTTTATATTTGTAAGCAAAGAATGTGCATCTTCAAATATAAATCAATAAAAATTAACATTTAAAATGTATATTTCTAAGAAGTATTGTCATCTCCAAAATATGTAAAAAGATGCATTCTGATCTTACCACTATAGTCCCACTTTCAGATTCAAAATTATTACAATATTTAATTCTACAACTTATTGGCCATATACAGCTCCTTGAACATATTCTTAGATCACTCTATTCCTTTGTCTTCCCTGCATAGCAGACAACATATAAAAGTAAGAAAAAATGCTACCTCTAAACCAGTTTAAGACATAAGCAAATACCTAATTTAGGATGCACAGAAACTATTTGACATATTACAGTGCAGTTTGAAGTTTGTGTGAAGGAAATCCAACCCTAAACTTTCAGAGTTGTGCTGTTTTTATCACAAACTTTAAAAATGGATCAAGTAAGACAGTTATTTTCATTCTAAAATCAAATCTCTTCTTGTGACCCTTGGAGCCCCACCTTGATCAAAATCAGCAATGTGGCTCCCCTATTTTGAGGTGGAAAACACCCCAAAACTACAGTGTAACAGAAAATAGATTTCTATATTTAAAAAGAAAGCACTTAAACATGAAATACAAAGCCTCTAGACAAATCAGAAATCATGCATTGGACACATATGTCAGACAGGCATCCATTGTCATTGCCCATCCAATGCATCCATCCATCTCCGTGCCTGCAAAAAAATATACTGCACACAACATCTGGGCTCAATTCTTCAGCATCTGTTGTCTAAGGCAGTTAGTTACCTTAGTCTGCTTAAGCAGGCTTAGCCAGGCCTTGCAATTGCTACACTGATCTTGACCTGGGTATGGAACAGAATACAGACACTAGAGCAGCGGTTCTCAACCTGTGGGTCGCAACCTCTTTGGAGGTCAAAGGACCATTTCACAGGGGTTGCCTAAGACAGGGCTTTTCCTCCCCCACCACCACTCCCCGCATGGCGTCGCTTTCCTCCCCCTCCTTCACAGTTCACTTGCTTGTTGAAATTGAAAACAAGCTGCTTGGAGACGGCCTGTAGGAACCCTACTGAGGGCGCATGAAGAGCACAGGCTCAGAGCGAGGCCTCGCCCTCCCCAGAGACTCATTGTGCAGGATCTGTGTCGCCCTTCCCTCCTCTTCTTACTTCAGAAGCAAGCGTGAACCTGAAGGGGGCAGAGCCATCCACTCACAGGTAGCTGTTTGAGACCGCTTGGCCCTGGGAACCAACCTCACAACCACCCCCTTCTTTTCCCCCTTCTCTCTCTCTCTCTGTTGCGGCCTTACTCTCCTCCATTTTTTCCTCTCCCCTCCCACGAGCTTGCAATACCCCTCATGGCCTCACGTTGCCTCCCGGGGCTCAAGTCGTTTCCCCTTCTCCCCAAGGTGCCTGGCTTTACAGAGGGGAAAGCAAAGCAGCCAGATGGCGCGCGCCCACGGCAGCAGGTGGGAATCAAGATCCACATTTATTTTGCTGATGCTGATCAGAACAGTGACTCGGGGGCTGACCGTGGGCAGGGGGGCTGCTCCCTTGCTCCAAGTTAGCTGAGCTCAGCTTTCTGCTCCCCACTCCCAATACTGATCGAAGTGGCCACAATGGTGCTGCACACTCAGTAACCACCCCCCACCCATCACTCATTGGCCACTAGGCGCTGTCTGTCAGGTGCAGCATGGTCTCATCGGGCTGCGGCAGCAGCTTGAGGCGATCTCCGGTGCCTCGTTGGCTCAGGTCGGCTGCCCGTGATAGGTATCTGATGGTGACTTGAGGTACAGCCATGGGTGGGGATGGCTGCTCTCTTGCTCCGGGCTCACTGAGCTCTGATACTGATCAAACATTCCAACGCCCGCACGGTGGGAAACCGATCTGGGCACCGCAGCAGAAGTCACAAGCTGTGGGGGATCCCTGCTGCCGCCGTCAGAGCCGGCTACAACGGAGCACCAGCAAGTTGCTTTAACCAGGCGCTGGTGGCCTCAGGATGCCCTGCCCATTGGTGATGTTGCCGTGCCATATTCCATGATGCCAGGGAATCCCTGCCCCGCCAGAGCCAGCCACAATGGAGCACTGGCCACCTGCTCTAACCAGGCGCTGGCGGCCAGTCCTAGGGTCCACCGGAGTCCCGCATGCCGCCCGGTAGGCTCTGTCAGCTTCAAGGTCACACAGGTAGACCTCTGTCTGCTTCAAGGTCACACAGGTAGCCCTCCCCACCTCCAAATCGATCCCCGATTGGAGAGACAGAGAGGGAGGGAAGAAGAGAGGAAGAAAGAGGGAGAGAGAGAGGAAGGGAGAGAAAGGGAAGGAGAGAGAGAAAGAGGGAGAAAGAGGGAGAAAGAGGGAGAAAGAAATAGAAAGAGAGGAAGAAATAGAAAGGAAGGGAGAGAGAGAGAAAGAGAGAGAGGGAGAAATAGAGAGGAAGAGAGAAAGGGAGAGAGAGGGAGAGAGAAAGAGAGGGAGAAAGAAATAGAAAGAGAGGGAGAAAAAGAAAGGAAGGAAGAGAGAGAGAGAAAGAGAGAGAGAGAGGGAGAGAGAAATAGAGAGGTAGAGAGAAAGGGAGAGAGAGGGAGAGAGAAAAAGGGAGAGAGAGGGAGAGAGAAAGAGAGAGAAAGAGGGAGAAAGAAATAAAGAGGAAAAGAGAGAAAGGGAGAGAGAGGGAGAGAGAAAGAGAGGGAGAAAGAAATAGAAAGAGAGGGAGAAAGAGAAAGGAAGGAAGAGAGAGAGAGAAAGAGAGAGAGAGGGAGAGAGAAATAGAGAGGTAGAGAGAAAGGGAGAGAGAGGGAGAGAGAAAGAGAGAGAAAGAGGGAGAAAGAAATAAAGAGGAAAAGAGAGAAAGGGAGAGAGAAAGAAAAAGAGGGGGAGAGAGAAAGAGGGAGAGAGAGATTAAATTAGTAACATGGTTCTTAAGTGAATCTGGTTTCCCCAATAACTTTGCTAGTCAGAAGATTGCAAAAGGTGATCACATGACCCTGGAACAATGTGACCATCATAAATATGAATCGGTTGCCAAGCATCTGAATGTAAATCACATGACCCTGGGGATGCTGCAATGGCCATAAGTGTGAAAAATGGTCAAAAGTCACTTTTTTCAGTGCCTTTGTAACTTTGAACAGTCACTAAGCAAACTGTTGTAAGTCAAGGACTAATTTTATGGGTTGGGGGTCACCACAACATGAGGAACTGTATTAAAGGATCGAGGCATTAGGAAGGTTGAGAACCACTGCACTAGAGGGAACATACAGATCATCCTTTGTAACAAATAAATCAAATTCTCAATTACAATTTGATGTGCAGGGTTATAAAACACAGAAATGTACTCTACAATCTGCAAAAATTACATCAGGTTACAGGTCATGGACAGCAAGTGGGAGTGGTTTAGAAAGAGACTAATTATCCCCCCTCCCCCCCTCAAAAAGATCAATTATTTGAAGGTACAGTCTTGCACTGTTGTCTACAATTTCTATTTCCAAATCACATACTATTTTTTATTCAGCTATCAAGGGGGAGGGGGAGAAAATAGAGAAATCAATAATTGTATGAAACAAAGCACAATATATTTAACATCTATTTTAATTTGGCTGCTGTGTCATGTGTAACATTTTTAAAAATGCCATGAAGGATTCCCCTTCTCCTCCAACATCAGTTCACTCAATTGAGAAATTTAAATGGTTTCTTTCTGGTAATGAATAAATGTGCTATTCTTAGAGAAGACCAATTCTTTCTCTCTCATTCAAAATATACTGGCGTTCAAATTTCTCTTCATGTATTGATCTAGAACAAATCTCTGTCTAAACCTTGCTGATTTCGTTGGAAGATAAGTAAGGCTCAGAAAACACAGAAAAACCTGTCAACTCCTTATTTTA